TGACCAAGAAGCGACGGACATAAAGATGTTGTCCGTCTCTAATTTAAAAAATAACTAAACAATTAAAATTAATAAAAAGTGACGGACGGAGTGACTTTTTTTAAAATAATAAATAATTATTTTTAATAAAAACCGACGGACTGCGTCACTATCTATATAAAATAATTAATTAGCAAAAATACGCGAAAAAAGCGACGGACTAAGCGATGCCGTCCGTCTCTTTTAACAAAAATTAAAAAAACAAAAAAATTAATTAAAAAGCGACGGACTAAGAGACGCTGTCCGTCGCTTTTTAAAAATGTTTGACTAGATATTTTGACCAAAAAGCGACGGACTAAGAGATGCCGTCCGTCGCTTTTTAAAATTAATTAATAAATAAAATAAATTAAAACGAACGGACAACGTGGTTATTGTTTAATTTATAATAATTATTTTTAATTAAAAAGACGACGGACTAAGAGATGCAGTCCGTCGCTTTTGTAAATAATTTAAAATAATTATTTTAATTAAAAGACGACGGACGGCTTCTCTTAGTCCGTCGCTTTTTTGGTAGTGACGCTGTCCGTCGCTTTTTCTTCCGTCGTTTTTTAGCAGTTTTTTAATAGTGAAAATAAATAAGATAAAAGATAAATAATAAAACTAAATTGAAAAAGCTCAAGTCATTGTGGTATAAACTTTAGTTTTATTTAAAGCTCGTAAGGAATAATTTGTAAAATATAATTTTTTTTTTATGTTAAAGATTAAAAAAATTCTAGAGATATAAATAAAAAAAAGTGAAAGAATTGAAAAAATAGTTGAATATGAAATTATGAATGATGACCCAAGTGATGTCTCACTTTACCTCTTCTGTATCTAATTTTACCGTATATATATAAAGATTTTTATGGATACAAAGAAGCTACTAAATTATCAATAATAAAAATGAGATATTAGACGATGAATCTTTTAACTTATGTCTTATCATTTCACATTATTAGGAAAGTTCAATAGCACATATTTTGACAAATTCCACAATATGATCTAAATTATATAAGGTAAAATGTTTGAATGTAAGTTAACTTTTAAAAAATCAAGAATAATTTCAATTAGCTTATAGAAATTGAAGTCTAAATAAAGAATGATTTTCTACTATCTACTAGTATAGAAGCATGAGTAAGGAACTTGGTATCAACATGTCAGCTTAATGGAAATAAATTTACATTTAAGGGTATATTGGTCTTATCAGCTAATTCAGAGCATACTAATAAATCCACGTGGCTGTTAACTTTGCAGACACCACATATACTTCTTCTCTTTCTTCTCTCCACAGTCCACATATATACTTATTCTCTTTCTCCACTTCTCAGATAATAATATAACTTGATGTTTTGTTAAAATTTTGTTCATCATTTCTGTTAACAATATGTAGTTATGTACTTATTTTTCTGATTTGCTTGACTATTTTTGTGTTGGAGAAAAGAGTTTAGGGCTAAACTTGGAGCTCTATGCCGACAATAATGGTGATTTTTCCCCCCCGGTAGTTGCTTTTCTTTTAAGAGAAAAATGCTACATGCACAGATTTTACCTGATCATAAAGGTAAAGGAAAAGGAGGTAACTTGATAGGAAGATTTCATCCCTATTATCTGCACAAATGAAACATGCAAGCGGTACGTATTTGATGCGTATAGATATAAATTCTGATTCTATTTTTTGTCTGATCTCAACTCTCAATTTTGGTAAGTTCTTTCTTCCTATCACTCTTGGCTTATTGCACTTATTTGCTATTTGTTTCTTGTTTATTGAAGTGGAATATGCATGCCCTCAAAGTGTTTGATGATATGTCCGACTCATTTTATTTGGAGTGATCAAGTTCACAAATATTATTTTAATTATTTGTAGTAAACGGGTCAACTAAATTAACCGATGTCATCGGTGATGGTTCAGCTATAGGTTTCGACCTTCATGGAATTTGTTGGGTTTGTAAAATTTTGCTCTTTATTAGGATAAGTGTCAACAAGAAAAGGGGCAAAACGATAGAGAAAAGTTTTTTCCCCTCATCGTCAAATTAGAGGTAAAAATATTTGTATGACACACTTTAAACTATTCTTGATTAATTTAACATTATAAAAATATTAGTTAACTGAACTATTAAATCCGATTGTTTTCTTTCAGGTTTCTGAATGTGTTGTTCTGATTATTGTTCCTCAGTGTATTCAGCCTTCTTAACTTCGGTATGTATCTATCTTTTTTTAGCTTCTTCAATTTGCCTATCTATTTGATTATTTTTTTCTTGGATTCACCTGTCTTCTTATTAGCTGAATTATTTTCTTTTAATACTGTCTGTAAAAAAAAATAATGGCTTTGTTGTGGTAGTGATCTACTTTTCATTCAAATTCTTTATCCCAAATTTGAAACTATGTTTCTATTTTCCTTCAGTGAACGCTTCCAATAACTGACTCCAATTGTTGCTTCAATTAAATGTGTGAAGCGAGCTTTCACTTTCCTCTGTTCCATGATTTTATTTTGAAAAGATGAAGCTGCTAAAGTTTATAAACATTCTAATTGTGATAATTTATATCTACTTATGAAATCTGTACACTTTTTCCTTATGCTTTAATGTTAAGAAATAAATTTATAAACATGACACCTAACAATGCACTTCTATAAATTTTTCAAGCTGTCTGATTTATTTTAATTTGAGATGGACAAAGTTTTGTTGTTTTGAGCCTGGAAAAATGTAGTAAATATGTGATGAAGAAAATGTTATTAAAGATGTTTGAAGTAGTAATGAAGTTATGTTACCCGGCACAACATGTTTAATATTCTCAACGGCGATTACCGCAAACATAGCTCTTTTCCCCCTCAGTTTATCTATTGTGATTGAGGAGTTCCTTTTGGTTGTTGATTTGTGGATAGATATGGTTAGAAAATATTAAATTGTTGCTTTTAGCTTTAACTTGAATTGGAGTTGAAAATTATAACAAATTTCAAGAAGAAGATTCATGCCGCTGAAGTAAATGAAAATCTACACTGTTGCTGCTGAAATCTGTATTAGTAGTAGTAGTTGTAGTTCAGACTTATTGAGACTGATCTAAATTCGAGTATGATTTTAGAGCCTGTTTGGATTTGCTTTTCATTTTTGACTTATAAGCCAAAAGTAATAAGTTAGAAGTACTAACTTGTGGCTTATAGTAGTAATTGTAGTTCAGACTTTTCGAGACTGATCTAAATTCGAGTCTGATTTTAGAGCCTGTTTGGATTTGCTTTTCATTTTTGACTTATAAGGCAAAAGCCATAAGTTAGAAGTACCAACTTGTGGCTTATTTTTAGGATTTTAGCTTAAAATAAAGTGTTTACTAAGCATTTATTTGACTTATTCACACACTTTTTTTTTTTTTTTAGTTTTTTTTTTTTACCCTCCCTAGGAGCTCCCACCCCTTTTGCTCCCTTGGTGACAAGAACTTGCAACCTTCGGGTTGGAAGTGAGGGGTGCTTACCATCCGAGCAATTAAGTTCTTAAAAGCTATTTTAGCTTAAAAGCACTTAAAATAAGCTAATCGAAACGGGTTATTAAGTTTGGAAAGTGTTGAGTACCCCTGCTGTGTATTTTGACTTATGATTCTGGATCCAATTGATGAGAAGTTGTTGTTCAAGTTTTAGTACAATATACTTCTGAAGTTCTTGAAACATAATTGAGCTTGGCCTGCTATTTTTTTTGCTTTTGCACTGTCTATTTGAAAAAGTGGGTTAAATATTGAACAAGAGAAGGCATGATGGCCTATGCATGCTTTAACAATGTGTGTGACACTTTGTTATTACTACACTCTACATTCACTACTTAAAACAATTCTCTCATTTCAACATAAAATCTCCACAGGCAATTTATCAATTTGGCTGGAGAGGCCAGACAAGCATTGCGGTTAGACAGAGCATTCCTTCCATCTCTCAATGCTTTGGCGACCCCTAAACTCGAATTTGCAATTACAGTAGTAATTAAGAACAACTTGCCAGCCACCAACAAAGTCACCGACCGCATCACTTTATTACCTTTTGCTGATACGAGTTTATGTAACCATTTGTAAATGATGTATACATAGTGATATCATGAATCTTATGTACAATCAGTATATATGTGTGTATGAATTAGTCATCTTCGGATAATTGTCACATAATCAATATGTTTAACTACTGTCATCCAATATAATATATATTGGACTAGTGCGCGCACGGGCAACTAAGGCTGGGCACCGGAACGGGTTGTACCGGTATCATTCCGGTTCGTTCCGGTCCGGTAGTATTCGGGACGGGATGGGATACATTGAACTGGTATACGGAACGGTACCATGATTGGGTACCGGTATACCGGTACCGGTTCATTCTAGTTCCGTTCCGGTCCGGTACCGATCCGGTCCCGGTAAATCATTTTTAATTAAAATAATAAATAATTATTTTTGTCATTATTTACTTTTATTAGCATTTCTTTTTGTTATTTAATTTTTTAAATTGAAACTTAAGTTATTTAACTTACAAGTTATAAGTATAACTTAATAACTTATAAACTTCAAAAGATTCAAATCTTTAAAACTTATAACATAACTACATAAGCTCAAAAACTAAAAAAAAAAACTTTATTAAACTTAACTTACAAACTTATATACGTAAAAATTAAAAAAAATAATCTTTAAAATAAACTTAAGTAAAATTATTATAAATTTTAAAACTTAAATACTATAAACTAATATAACTTAGAAAAAAAAAAACATTCGAATTTTGGTAATTCAAAATAACTCAAAAAAAATAATTATTTTTTGAAATAGCTATATGTGCCGTCCCGTTTATCCCATTCCGTTCCGGTCCGTCCCAGTTCTATCCCGGTATATAGTGGGACGGGACGGAACTGAGCCTCCATCCCGATAGTTCTGGTCCGATTCATCCCGATACCGGTCAACAACCTGATCAAACCGTCCCGTTCCGGTCCGGTTCCGGTTCGTTCCGGTCCGGTGATCCCATTCCGGTCTGGTGCCCAATCTTACGGGCAACCACCATCTAGTATTAAAAGAGAAGCAAGCATTAGTTGGAAAAATTGTGCATGACCTTTATCATTAACTAAAGCTACTAAAATGTCAATAGGAAAAATGGGTTATTACTCTTATCAATAATCATCAATTTTTTGTACTTACCCATAAAATCCACATAATATAAGAAGTAAAATAATGCATATTGTGATAATCAACAACATAATATAATATAAATTAGAAAAAATGATATTCTACACATGAATGTGAAAATAGCCTGAGATGAAATTCAATTCATCAATTGAGAAATTAAAATTTAAATAAAAAACAATATTAGAATAGAAATAAATACAAGAATGTAGCAATATAATAAGATAACATGAGAAAATGACAAAACACAATTATACAAATAAAATATTTTGTTCCAAATAAATTCAAGAATCTATAAAATAGCAAACCAATTGAAAAATAGTCATCTAAATGATAGTGATGATATTGTGATACAAAAAAACAAAATAATTGAAAAGAACAGTCATCTAAAATGATAATGATGAAAGTATGATACAAAATATCATTATTAAAATTTTATATAATATTAATATTTGTAAACAAATAAAATAAAATAAAATGGTACCTGAAAACTACTTAAGCAGTCCCATCAGAAGGGAAGCAATTGGTGAACAAAAAATATTTCTCCATGATATAAATAGTTGGAGATTTATAGTAACTATGAAAGGAGATAATGTTTCAACTCCACAATTGATTTTGAGACAAAAAAAAAACATTTAATATCATAAAAGAGTATAAATAATAATTAAAAGTTGAAGAATTGGTCATGATGTTAGACGTGGGGGGAGGGGAAGGGTTGATTGTTTTTACCAATAAATTTAATAAATTAATTACAAGTGATTATAGATAAAGAATAAAAGATTAATTAAAATATTGACATTAAAAATTTCAAAAAAAAGAGAGGATAAATATGAATGGAGGCCATAGAGAGGTGCCACGTCACCTTCTCTATGTTCCTCCTTTACATATAGATATATAGATTAGAAGTTACAAGTAAAATGAAGAGACATGTGTAGACAATAAAATTTGCGTCGAGAAAACAATAATCAAGAACGGAAAATTATAGCAACAATCGTATCTATTATTTCAAAGTGCGAGTGTTACAATCTCTATGATTCCTCTGAATTCGCCTTTTCAAATATGAATTCAAGGGCTTTAAAGCTTGTTCTTGAATCTTCGATGAATTTGAACTTTGAACTTTATCTTGATCTTGACTTTTACTTGAATTTAAGGGCTTCGAGCTTGTTCTTGAATCTGATGGTCTTGATCTTGATCGTTCTTGAACTTGAATGCTTGAATTCTTAAACTTGTAGCTTTATAGAGAATTTTATGGCGTTTGTACCACAAATTTTCTCTATTTTCTTGTTTAGAATTTTCTGTCTTCTATTCTGAATTATGAGGACCCCTATTTATAGTTTTAGAATAGAGGAGTTGCGATTGGAACAAGATTTCTTTCGATCAATCAGATTTAAGTGACATGTCATATGGGCTTTATGGAGCGGGCTTGTCATCTTTGACACATGTCTTGATCCTATTGGCTATTTGTTTGACTTGGCATGCCACGTCATTTGCCACGTGGCACCAAAAGAATGGACCTCTAGGATAAGATGACATTGGACTTAGCAAATTGGGCTCATCTATAGCCCAAATCAATTAATTTTGACTTTAATTAAATTCATATTTATTGGACTTGAATAATTAGCCCAATTATATTAATTCATAATATTTATTTGGACTATTCATGAATTTAATATAATTCGAATCATTTTATAAATTTATATTTAATAAACTTTAAATGATTACAAATGTCCCCTGCTTCAAGTCTTGTCAAACAAATATTTTCACGAAGACTAGAATTGAAGTATTAAGTCAATTTTGAATCAAACTATATATAATAAATAAATAATTTGTACATACAATTTACTATTTATTTATATTTGACCGTGTAATTGTTTGGAAGACTCCTAATAAGTATTATAAGCTTGTACACACATACTGCCAAAACTTTCAATACGTAGGAAATTTTATGTTTTTCAAATTTGTGGGTCCCACCATGCACTTTTCCTTATTTGTCTCCAAAAGTAACATATTCCTATCCTATTTGAATTGTGACACTTGAACCGTCATCACCAACTTGAGGCTTTACTAGAATACTTGTGTTTAACGTCCCCGCCTTGAAAAAAAAATACTACTCTCAAGGTGTTACAAGGTTCCGAATATTTAACCAACTTGAGGCTTTACTAGAATACTTGTGTTTAACGTCCCCGCCTTGAAAAAAAAATACTACTCTCAAGGTGTTACAAGGTTCCGAATATTTAACCAACTTGAGGCTTTACTAGAATACTTGTGTTTAACGTCCCCGCCTTGAAAAAAAAATACTACTCTCAAGGTGTTACAAGGTTCCGAATATTTAACCAACTTGAGGCTTTACTAGAATACTTGTGTTTAACGTCCCCGCCTTGAAAAAAAATATTACTCTCAAGGCGTTACATGGTTCCGAATACTTAACCAACTTGAGGCTTTACTAGAATACTTGTGTTTAACGTCCCCGCCTTGAAAAAAAAATACTACTCTCAAGGTGTTACAAGGTTCCGAATATTTAACCAACTTGAGGCTTTACTAGAATACTTGTGTTTAACGTCCCCGCCTTGAAAAAGAATACTACTCTCAAGGCGATACAAGGTCCCGAATACTTAAGTATAAGGTGTGAAGGGATGTGTTTAATGTCCTCGCCTTGAAGATCACTAACTTGAGGCTTTTTCAAGATCCATAATGCTTAAATTATTCGCCCCTTCTTAACTACCCTTTTTTTTACAAGTTTTATCTTCTTTCATGCATCATCATAAGTAAATATTAACACTTTTATTTTTTTTACAGTTTGAACAATGGTTTTCTTCAAGGATTATACTTGCCCATCTTCTCAACTCAAATATCTCATCGTTGGAACAGAGGGTAGTACGGTGGAGACTAAGTTTTTGGTCCAGGATTCTTTTGTTGGTCGTTATGTTGATCCATGGCCACAATTGAGGAACACGCTTCATATGAGAAGTTGGACATCCGAATACGATCACAAATCTAATAAAGCCTCAAAAGAGTGGTATCTTGAAAAACCAAATCCTCAACGTACAAATATCGCGAGCACTCTTTCAAATTTAGGTCACCGCATGATTCTAGAGGAACTATGTTGGGGAGACAACATTGTGCTTGAAGGTGAATATCACTGCATTCCGGGATACTGGGAATGGACAGAAGATGTCTTAAGCAAAAATGGGCAAAGTCTAAATAATGCTTGTATTTCTGATGCTGTATTTGCTTCTCTTTTTACTTATGATCGTAACTCCAATATTATACAAGCCTTTTGTGAGGCTTGGTGCCCTAAAACAAATATATTACTTACATCTACCGGAGAAACATCCATATCTCTTTGGGACTTGCATATTCTAGGTGGTTTGCCAATTAACGGAGTCCCTTACGAAGAAGTGATACCTAACTCCACGAAACTTACAGGTTTGGATGACAAGAGGAAAATATTTCTTTCTCGAACTTGCAAGTGTATGTTTGCTGCCTTTCATCATCTTAAAGAGAAAAAATAATGGTAATATGAGGGTCTCTTTTAATGAATGGATACAATTTTGGTGCAAGAAAGATCGCAATTATGAGCTAGCTCCCCCAAGGAAAGAGAAGAAATCTCGACGTCTGTCATCTACTCATAATCCAATAGGTGAGATACCTACTGAGATAAACACATGGTCAAGTACTCAAGAGATGGTATTTTCTAAGCTTGGAGCGAAACACCAAAAATATAAGACTTATCTGACGGCCTTTTTTTCATGTTGGTTATGTGCCTTTGTATTTCCGTCTGAAGAAGGGAATTTCATTCGGCCTGAAACTTTTAAGATAGCAAGCTTAATGGCGAGCGGTAAAAGGGTTAGCCTTGCGGTTTCGGTCTTAGCAAGCATATATCATGGCTTAAATAAAAATTTCAAATTCTTCACAGTTAGACCATATAAGAGTCTGTTTTCCCATCCACTATGTTTATGGTTGGCTTGCTTATTATCTCAAGACACACTATCTGAA